TGATGTGTTGACCTGAACTGCTCTCAGGGTCACGTTATTGGTATTTAAGTCTCGTATAAACCTTAGTGGGAGCGATTTGATGTTATACCACGTGGTTTCAATGAGCCTGCTAGAGTCAGCTTCTGCATTTGCCTGGCAACAGTGGTTTTAGATGGGGGGGATGTGGCAAAGATGCGCAGTAAGAAGGGGCTTTCCTTCTAGGTTACATCCTCTCTTCCTCATCTTATTTCCTTTTTATATCATTTTTTCCTCATTGTTGGAATCAACAAAAAGAACTAAGCAATAGAAACGCCTGGTTCCTTCGGATGCGTACGATTAGCTTTCATTAGTAAAGTTAACAGGGGCACGAAATAGCTTGGATGAGGTGAAGTGTCCTCCTGAGGGTCTCTTCTGACCAGAGGTAACGCGTGTGTGATTTCCTCGGGTATGGCCTCTGAGCACTCACAAATCCCACATCTTGTGGATATTTTCCCCAGAAACTGGACTGTTGCTAACACGGTGCTTGCAGCTCCGAAATCCTCCTTTTCCTGGGGACCCCCGGCACCCACCCACCGCCAGAAGACAGACGGCTTAACCAGCTGGGGACAAGGTTCTGGTGAAACGTTTTCTGCCAGAAAATGCTGTTCTGTCAAAATCTTATCTGCATGATGTAATATTTGATGGAGAAGTTTTGAAAGATTCATTTCGACTTGTTTCATTTAAATAATGTCAAAACACTTGATTTAGATGTTCCTGTTTAGTTTTGACTTTTATTATTCTAATGTGGAAGTGATTTTACTTAAACATTCATCAGGAGAAATGTTTCAATCTTACTGAAGTAACGTGTTTTGATATTTCTGAATCATTCATTTTTGAAATTTCTGCCCTGCTAAATATTACATGAATTTTACTGTGTATGAAAAGAAATCTAGGAACCAAGGGATTTTCTCAGGACAGAAATTTCGTTTTTCACCTCTCTAATGTAATAAAATGTGCTAGCTCTGTTTGCCTGCTGCTAACAAGGAGATCACGTGCATGGTGGAAAACGTGGGCTCTAATTCTTCATTTCTCTCCCATTCTTAAGCCTGTGATTTCACACGGCTGTAGGGATGCTCCAGCTGGGGTCGGGCAGCGGGACAGAGAAGGACTGCACAAGCCCCGGAGCGAGGGGGGAGCCCTGGGAGGGAGGGGACCATTCCGTCAGCGCCTCGAGAGCATCGCTCTTCCCTTTATTCCTTCTCAGCAGAGGGCCGAAAGGGAGTTATTTTCCTTTGCTTGGCTGCGTGTTTTCTGAGTATCTGGTAGTCTGAGCATGTCCTCCTTTTACAAAAGCGGTGAATATGTGGATCCTGGTAGCTCCCTTTGGCTTCTGCAGTAGCTGGAGCAGCTTAACATGTCTGCCTGTGGCCCCGTGGTGGAGTCCCTGTGGCCACCATCCCTCCGGAGCCACCGATGCGGGCAGAGGGAAGCTCTTTGGGTCGGTGATGGCATCTCAGCGTTGCCAGACCTGATGGCAAAACTCCCTTGGGCTTTAGGAGGACAGAGCTCCCTGTCTGGCGTCTGGTGAGGGCAGGAATACGTTGTGTGGCTGTGTGTTTTGGAGCTTTGCTGGTGCTGGGTGGAAAAGAACCCTGTGTACGTTGGTTGAAGAGATGGCTGGGGTGACATACGTTGGTGTCCATCTCCTTCTGAGCGAAGACCAGCGACCAGGGTGCTGTGGGACATCAACATCGCCTTCCCCAGGGCACCCAGCGTCGCAGGCTCGGTGACAGCAAGAACTGGAGACGCTGGGTGAAAGGCACCTTGCGGGACAGCTTGCCATCAGTGTTACTTGCTAATGCTGTGTTTCAGGACTTCAAGGTGTGGGAAGGAAGGGAAGAAGAAAAATGAATTTTGAAAGGCTGTTGACTTGTGGCAGAAAACGTTGCCAGTTTCTGCTGTCTCTGTCAAGGCACAGTGATACAGGTTTAAAATATGCACGCTGCCCTTTGATCTCATTACTTTTTCTTGAGTTTTAAAGCTGAATTTTCTTTTATGATTTGCACTACTTCTCCCCTGCTTTTTTTTTTGGAGAGTAATGTACAGCTCGGTGCTACTTTCAGAATTCCAACTGTGTTGTTTTTTTGTCCCTTGTATGCAAGTGCAAATCTTAAACATTTGGATTTTCAAAGCCTGCAGGAAGATAAGTAAATCCTGGCAAACTGTTTTCACTGACAGGCAAAAAAAGAAATCTATTTCCTGAAAACTTTAATATTAATATTAATTTATGTTAAATTATTTGGGGGATGCTTCATTACCTGGCAGTGACTTTTTAGTTCGAGATGCACACAGCATAGCAGAAGCCAGGTGCCTTCTTGTGACTTCCATTCAAAATACACCTGTATCTAAGTGGCCTGAAGTCAGAATAATAATGAGGTGCTTGTTGTTCTTCAAACCAAACTGGAATATTAGATGGAGTAATGCAAATCTTGGATTATGTGATTTTCCTCTGTAAAGAAAGTGTCGTAAAAGAAGTTTCCAATTTGGTGTAAGAAATTGAAAACGGGGAGAAAAGACAGCGAGGCTGATCACAGATGATGGGGATAAAAACCAGAGAACGTGGAAGACGAGCTGAATGTGAAGCAGAGAAATAGTGTGGGAGCACTAAGGAGGCTGCAAAGGAATGAAGTTTCCCAGTTAATAGGGGTACAGAGCAGGGGACCCCTGTGAAATGAAGTTGCACGGAGCAGAAGAGAACAGAAAACTGTGTCCATGATTTACTTCAAGTCCAAATGCAGGCGCAGCGAGAGAGTAACTGCGTGTTTCCCTGCAACACGGTGTCAGCTGTCTGCTTCGGGACCACACAGAGACATGGAGACAGGGGGAGGGGGAGACAGCAGACGTGGCAGTCCCGCAGACACCCCACCTGTGTCCGCTTTGCCAAAGGAGCCGAAGGTCTGCCCCAGTTCAGCGAGACGTGGTCTGCCTGCTTCTGAAGGAGTCCTGAAGCAGATGCAGAGTAGGGTCTCCTCGGGCACGGCGGAGTTTTTCCTTTAGTTGTGATTAATTTAAGGGTGAAGCAGCAGCTAGGAGAGGTTGTTAGGGCCTTTTGGTGACAGTGGTGAAATTCCTGCGGTAAAGGCAGATCTTGGGTGCGTTCTGCGCGGCTGCGGCCCCCGGCCCGTGTGAGCCGGTGCGGAGGGGACCGGCGCTCCCTCGGGGGTGATGCGATGTCTTTGCCGGAGCGCCCGTACGGCGGGCACGGCGCCAGCTCGGCGTCAGAGCCTTCCCCCGTGCAACTTCTCTTTTCTTTCTTTCAGAGATTGACCAAGGGAGCTGCGGTGATCCCGGGATCCCAGCCTACGGCAGGAGAGAAGGATCCACGTTTCACCACGGGGACAGTTTGAAGTTTGAGTGCCATCCTGTGTTTGAGTTGAAGGGACAGAAAACAATAACCTGCCAAAAGAGTAGCCAGTGGTCTGCTCAGAAACCAGTTTGTGTTTGTAAGTCAGTGAGGAGACGGCTCTAAAACACCTTCAACGCGTGGTGAGGTGGTCGTGGAAACAGTGTGCGTGTGCTCCGTGCTTGGTACCCGGGCTGGGGCAAGGACTCGGGGTGGCCGAGACGGCACCAGGCTGCAGCTTCGCTTGCCTGCAGCCGCGGGGGGATGGGTCTGCTCGCGGCGGCGAAGGGCTGTGCGGCGGGGAGCAGCGTCCGGTCGGAGACTTGGGCCTGCACTGGGACTGCGTGCTCTCTGCTCTGCCCCTCTGCCCTCCCGGCGCTCCGGGTCAGGTCCCTTCCGGAGAGACAGTCGGGCTTTGGTGTCCTGGGCAGGAGGCGTGGACACACAAACACACACAGTATTTAAAATGTGATTCTATTTTTGGCCATTTAATTTTCCTTCATTAACTGACAATGTTCAGGTTCCCTGCTGCTGGACCTCAATTTTTAATTTGTTGCAGGAGTTCTCAGCAGAAGTAGGATATTATGCTTGCAGTAGTGACTAAGGATAAAGTTTTCAGATATAAATGGAAGTTGCAGCCACAGTGCCCGTTGGGTTTTAATGGTGTCAAAGTCCTTCGAAGATGCGTTAGGCAATCTGCTGTTCTCTGAAACTTCACTCGTTAACAATGTTGTATTTGAACATTTCGAAAACTCACAGCAGTGTGTCTGTTTTCCACAGCTGGTGACAAGCAGACTCCTCTTTTTGTCTCATCTCTGCTTAGCTGGATACAAAGTCTGTGCCTTTGAGCAGATGCTGTGGTGTAGAGGGGTGAGACCGAACCTAACAAAAAATTAGGAAGGGAGAATTCGGCTGAGCAACAGACAGAGGACAAGAGCGTGGGGAAAACGGATGGGGAGAAAACAGAAATGTGAATTTTTAGAAGTGTGTGTTCACTATGCAGGTAGATAGGCTGGCATTGGATGCTCCAGGACCAAGTGCTGCTTTGTAGTGTGGCAGGACTTGATCTGTGCCCGAGCGATGGCACAGGCTGGAGGGAGCAAACCCCGGTACTGCAGAGCTGAACCTGGGCTCGGGGGAGCGGGGGGGAGCGGGGCCGTTGGCGTCCCTGCGCGGGCCGTTGGTGGGAGGGCGTGGGACAGCAGTGCCAAGTGAGTGCCTTTCTTTTCAAAGACAGATTGAAGCTCTGAGGATGGCTGCAGGAGGAAAGGGAGCCATTACTGCGTGAGTTTTGCCTTGTCCAGGTGCCACGACCCCTGCCTGGGTTTCTCTAGAAGCAAATCAGCTCAAGATGCTGAGGAGGGAAATGGAGTTTCCCTGGCTATCTTCAAAGTGGGAAGTGTTAGACCATTTCTGTGCTTAGCGTCAGAAGTTGTTGGGGTTTTTTTTCATTTCCAAAAAGTTCAGATGATGGTTTCATTTGGGTTCTTGCTGACAGTTTGCAGTGAGCCTAAACCCGTAGTGTGTGCCTTGTAGGAGAGGATTTGATCATAGCTGTATAGAAAGGAGACTTTCCGGTAGAGTGTTTTGGTTTTTTTTTTTGTAGATGGATACTGAGCAGGGGCATCAAACCAAGCCCAAATCAGCAGTCCATGTAAAGCATAGCACAGGCATGAATCTTTTCATTAAAATAATGCCGTTGTAGTCTGTTCTCTGTGGCCCTCCAGCTTTGGATATTTATGAAGCAACAAGGCAACACGTAGGTAATGCAAAAAGTATTTCACAGCCCTTTCTACACCTTCTTCCCCTGCCTTTCTTCTAGGCAGCATCATGTTAGTGTGCATGGATCAGAAGAGGTGAGATGACAAAAGGCGTAACCTGGCATGAAATCTGCAGTGGGATTAGCAACAACTCTCTGTAAATGTTAGGAGTCCATTATATGCATCGGGCATGAGGTGGGGAAATAAGGTAACCTGATTTATGTGCCAATAGTTGGAATATGCAAACAATTCAGTGCTTCTGATTCAGCTGCGAACGCGTGACAAATGCAGACGGAGATTAAACAGCGCGCTATGGTGCATCCTGCTGTCCCAAGCGAGTGATTTATGAGCAGGCAGGATTTATTGTGGAGAACTCATTTCCTGGGGCTTCGATGACAAAGCAACACAAACCATTTAAGTAATGCATCTGCTTATTGCAACGGGTTCTGAATTCGGGACTGTCTGTGCCTCCGTGCTGACAGACCTGCCATCTTCCCCCTCTGTCGTCACTGCGTCCCGTAGCCATCTGGGGTGAACGCCTAGGGCACCTGAGAAACTTTGCGAGACGTCTTAGGGCATGTCTTCTGCAAACCCCTTACCTGAAACAGCTGCACTGGAGCCTGGGAACCTGTAGTGCTGTAGCTGGGTGGGGTGGCACAGTCGTCCGTCCGTGTCTGCTCAGAGCTTGCTGCCTGCTGCTGTGCGACGTGGGTGTCTGGGTGTCAGTGACGACTGGGTGTCAAAGACCTCTCTTCCTCCCTGTTCTTCAGCACCTCGCAGTGCTTGAATCAGCTTCGTAGTTGCTGTTGTTCGCTCTGACACTTGTGTTTTCCAAGTTAGAGAACTGTGATGTCTGTCAAAGGCTAAGGCAGTTCTCCTAACCCAGGATAACCCCAACCGTCGCTCTCGTACAGAGCTATGTTTGGTCTTGTTGAAGTCTCGAAGGTTGGCAGAATGGGCTTAGGAGATGTCAGGTGGATAAATGTTACCTAAGGAAAACCGCTCTGCTGTTTAGATGAAGTTTCTGCTCTGATGGGAGGAACTCATAAGGGATATAATATTCAAACTGAAGTCTACTCTTACCTGTGGTTGAGGAGGTTATTAGGCTTATGAATGGGGAACCAGCCCATAATTACAGCTATAACGGGAAGCTGGTGAGTTGTTCAGATACTGCAGTGAGAATGATGATGAAAGACTGGGTAGACATAGTCAGGGAGCAGGGCAGTTCAGCAGTGCCATAACTTTAAAATACATGGTTGGAATTGCTGTTTAAACATACTCGTGTATAGGGGGCAAAACTCATTATCTGAATTTTATGTGAACTGTTGCAGTGGAAAGCCCTGCTACAAAACGTTTTCTATGACCAAAATTTGTTTCCCAAGGTTGATGTTTCCTTGCTAAGGAGGGGGAAGAGCTGACATCCCCTCTGCAGGGCCACAGTGCTCTCGGAGGCTTTCTGCAGCAGTGCAGTAAGTCTTAGCAAGGCTCTTTGCTATTCCTCTCCAGCAGCTCGCCTTCCGCTCCCTCCTCCTCCTCCTGCCTGCAGCCCTGTCCCTGGGGGCCTGTGACCTACAGCTCCTGACTTTAGTCCTGCACCTTAGCTGAATGGCTGACTTGTGCCAAATGATGCCGTCATTTTATGTGATGGATAATTATGGCATAAATGGTCATGACAATATACGTCATCTGTAACCGTCTCACTGACTAAAGGCGAAGTTTTGCCTTGTTTGGAGTGTCCTATGCTGGTTGCTCTGGGAGGGTCATTGCTGAAAAGAACTCATTTTCTGATTTCATTGATCTCAGACTTGCAAACTTCAAGTTTTGTGGACCCGTCGTGTTCTAAAGGTAAATACGACGTAGAATGTGCGTAATGTTTTGTGTCAGTGACTGCAATGCATCAAGCAAACCTGGGGGTGGGGGCTCCTGCGCTGAACTGGGGGGTTGGAGCCTGAGGGTAAATACCCGGGCACGTCTGTGTCTGTACGTGCGTCCGTTTGGCTGGGGGGGCTGTGCTTGGAGCTGTGCTGCTCCAGGGTGCTGCTGGACTCCGCCAGACACCTCACGTCTGTTGATCTGGTAGTCGGTACAGGAGCCTTGGTCTTGCTCTGGTTTTGGTTTGGGATCTTCATTAGTTTCCAGCAACTGTCATTTTGTTGCGTTAGATAAATTCTTTTTGAATTACAGACCTGCTTAGAGCAGTAGGCATGCATAATGTTCCTCGAAACAGAGCAGAAGGCATTTCCCAAAGCATTTCCAATTGAAATTATGTTAAATTGTGTGCTTTCTTCTCTGGCCTTGGAGCAGGTGTTATGCTTTCTTCCCTTCTTGTTCACTGGAAAACCTCACCCGCAGCCCGTTGCTCCTCGCGGTCGCTGACGCCGTCGGCCTCTTCGGAGGCACTGTGGGTTTTGTGCATTTTTCCAGTCTTTGAAACATCTGATTTTCCATCATAGCAGTATAAAATCTCTCTTCTCCTTAGTGGTAATTACTCTTTTTTTTTTTTTTTCTTTTGTTCATCCCATAGTGGTCTGTTCTGCCTGCTGAATAAAGTTCGCTCCTCGGTGCAAAGAGTGCGAATTTTAGTTCTGAGCGGAGTGGCCGACCTTTTGTGGGCACTGTCTGGTACAAACAGTCAGAATTACGAGCTGGAAATGCAAAATGCAATAGATGTTTTCCCAGCAACGTACTGAGAAGAACCATGTAATTTCATATCACTTGACAAGTTTTTCATTTAGCTCTAAATTAAATTGTCAGTTGGTCATTATTTTCTTTCTCTTTCTTTCTTTCTTCTCTTTGCTTCTCTTCCTGCCCACTATTCACAGCAACCTATGGAGCCTTCCCTGTGAAGAGTAATTTGGAGAAAAGTGTGTCTCAGGTTAGAAATAGTAAAAGCCTAGTTTGCCTTTTTAAAAATAATAGCTTTTTAACAGAGTAGTTAACCCTTAGAGCAGCCTGCTGAAGGCAGTTGGTGAGTTCTTCCTACCTAAACACTTCCAAATTGAGATTGGATACTCCTTTCTGGAGACCTCTGGGAGGCAGGAATTGTTTCACAGTCTGTATTCTGGAGGCGGACAGAGAAGGTGATCTGAATGAGCCCTTATTGTCCAATAATTCTTTAATCAGAAATTCCAGAAAATTTTCTTTTAAAGGAACTGAGATTTTTTTTCATTGAAAGGGAGTTTTTTAGACTCCTGAACTGTAGCATAGGCTCTCGTTCTTCCAGTGAAACCTGAGCCATCGTTTGCTCTTCATGGTATTTCTTTTATTCTTAATTCCTCTTACTTTTTGCAGTGCTGGTGGAGCAGTTTACGTTAGCTCACAGAATGTTTCTCTGTCTTGC